TCATAATTATGGTTGATGACTGTGTTTTATGCATTTATTATTAAAAACATTGTCTGAAGATACTTTAGAAGCTTATAAGAACAAAGCAGGAATAGATCAAATAAAAATACTATATATTATTACCCAAATGCCTAATTATTTTATAGATTGAGACGTAACTTTTTTCTCTTCTTTTGCTCTTGCCTCTACATTATCCTTCTATGATGCAAGAAGGATGAAATCCCTGACTAACCCTGTCCCCAACTATCAAGGGAAATCATTATTTCTCACTGAAAAATCACCTAAGGTCTGTTTGCCACATGAACTTAAGTTGACTAATGTTGTTAAACATTTGAACTTGCCAGAGGTAAATTTACTTCCAATAACAACTCTGCAATTAAAATACAGAATCATGTGGATAACAAAGTATACATTTTCTTAGCAAGATTCCTCCAAAATACAGTTTTCAGCATAGTGGAAAGAGATGCTGCTGGTTTCATATTGTATACAACCCGGTCACTGAATGTACACTATGTGTACAAATGTGGATATTGAGAGCATCACATAACACTGGATTTTACAGCAGCTAGTTTTGAGGTGATCACAAAATCTGAGGCATTTAATATCTGACCATGGTTTTTGAAAATGCCCATAATGAGAGCAGAGAGGCACCAGTCTTGCTGGCTGCATTCATTATGTGTTGCAGAATCTTCCAGCAGGAGGTGGTGTAGCCTCTGTAACACAGTGATTCAGCCAATGAGAACACTTTCCATGGTGCATGCAAAGAAGTCAAACTATAGATGTCCATAAATTGAGCTATGAGTAATACAATGGAATGAAACGGAATAAAAGTAATGAGCGAGCTTACCTGAAATTCATTTAATACTTAAAAAAAATAAATAAATCAACCTGTGTCAGTTATGACAGCTTCAAGACACTTCTTGTACCTAAGAACTAGCTTTGGTCAGCTGAGTTTTTGGCTCATTATTTCACATGCCCTTATTTGTATTCTAAGGTTTTCTGCAGGAATCCAGTCAGATGATTGGGTAGAGCAGCTTTACTTTTTTCTCTGAAATCAGTTGAGAGTTTCTTTGGCTGTGTCTGTTTGGATCATCGCCTTGCTGAAACGTTCGCCTTCATTTTGTCATAATGTTCTGGGTTGAAGATGGAGATTTTATCAAAAATTCATCGGTACAAAATTGCCCAGATAATGATTAACAAAGTGAGAACTTTTAACCAAAGCTACCAAGTACCACAAGGTTATCAGGAAATAATAGTCAAAATCCTCTTCAGTCTTTGTCCTTGTTCTATGAATACCTGCTGAGTGACGTGCCATTTAAAACAATAGTTGAAGGATTATGATCAGTAGTTTTGTTCTTAAATAGCAACCTATGCACACATATAGAGAATGAATGTAGAAAACTTGTCCCCAAAATATAATTTAACAAAATACTTTAACCTTCCAGTTAAAAGTATTTTAACTGCAAATTAGTCATTTGGTACTATTTTAGCAATCCCTTTTAGTCCTATGAGTGCTTTTGCGTACTGTTAATAATGATAGCAATTGTTTATGAGCACCGGTAGTTTTCTATGGCCAAACCAAGAACGAATAGAAAAAGCTATTTCGGAAACTACAGCACAATACCTTTAGCTTGGACAGAGCATTTCACTTTTAGCAGTTGAGAAAAGGATTTAACTTGGCACGTTCTTACATGTTGCAAAGAAACAGTTTCAGCGGCCCCTCTCAGTCTGGTGGTTAGGGAAGCGTCTGCTCACACTGGTAACACGTGAGGCAGCATGTTGCAGAAGTGTGGTTTGTCTTCTCTCTGGACAGTGGAGGGAAAATCGCTTCATTATTGTGATCAGACAGACAATATCTCTTCTTGGGGAATCCAGAATTTTTTTATAAATTATTTTCTGCAGGATCTCACTGCATCTCTTCAAAGATGGAGTGTTTTTAGATGGCTATTAAGGAAGAGGATTTCATCCTTGTGCATGTCACCCCAATGCAGTGGTCTGTTGGAAAGAGGAATACATTATTTTACGTTAGTTATATAGTCCTTATAACAGAGTCTCCCTCCTGGGAGACTCCTTCTCCTGGGAGTTATCTAAACATAAAAAAATAATGCAGTGCATTTCATGATAGAGTTTTACCAGTACCAGTTTTGTTCTGATGTTAGTTTAGAACTAATTTTCCCATCTTTGATTGTCCTCACACCAATAAAACAAAATACTAAAATAAAATCAAAACTGCCAATCTAGAAGAAGATATGCCGAAAATTATTCTCAGTTCAAAATGTGAAATGTGAGTTTCTTGATGTTAACTTCTGGGTTTTAAATGTGTGGCTGGTCAAAGTCACATAGAAATAGTTACCAGGCTAATCCTCTTATCTATTACAGGTACCTGTCATGCTCTTACTTTAGAGTTAATGGGATTAGGTAGATGCTCTAAAGTGCCCATCAGTGACCGAGGGCTCGCGTGCCTATAAAGCTCAAAGAACTGGGTTTAAATGCACCCCAAATGCGCGTATGTTTTGATTTTAAACTTTAGCATTTTAGATGTGGTGCTGCTGGAAGGAACATATGTAAGAAACATAGTTTTTGTATTGTACATTAACAAAAAAAATAATTTTAAATTATTTTAGATTAGAGATTCCTTGTTAAATGTGGAACTAATAGTACTTAATAAAAATTTAAGAAGGCATCATGAAGCTTCACAGGGTTAATTGGTACAATTAGTAGGATTGTGCCTGTTTCATTTCTAGCATTTAATATTCATACCTTCCATATAAAGGACAAATATGGAGGGTCCTTCTGGTTCTGAACTCAGAGCTTGTTCTGCTGGTCTAGCTGAGATTGGGTTCGATTCTGGTTCTGGGTTTGATGTTGTTGAGTTTGGGCTTGAGAGTTATGGGTAATGTTCAAATACCTACATCTTTTGTTTGGTTAGAGCTTCGTCTTTACGGTGACATTTAATCTAACTTCGTTTACTTTATTAATAGATTTTATTCAATGACTTTTAGAAACAAACGTGCAGCTTGCATGTCAGTGTAAAGTGAAATAAAACTTGATGACTACAGTATCATTTGTTTTAATCTGCAGAGCTCATTTTTGAGATTTTGGTATTTGTGTCCTTGTAAAGGAAGTCATCACCATCAGTTATACAAACTTTAGACTAGCCACTATATCTTTGATGACAGTCCTTTTACACTATTGTGTTTAATTCATAATTGCATTTAACATTTTGGAAACTTGGTATGTAAACTTGGCTATGAGAACTTTGACTGTAGGAAGTTGGATGGTTACAGTGTTTCTGACTTCGGTGTCTCTTTTGAATAGAGCTTTATTGCAACTTCCACCACTTTTAAATTGTAATGTGTTTGTAATAAATGATATGAGGTCACACTTTTATCTTTACTATATCTATAATGTTTGTATCAAAAGCATACAAATACAATGCCGTTTAAAAAATAGCTACAAATTTGTAACATTAGTACATTTTCCAACGTGTTTCAAAAGTATTTTGAGACACTTCTACAGGTGTTGCTCTAAGATTTTGCAAACACTGGTAGCACTGGTTCCTTTTTTTTGTTATGTAGTCCTTGCATATCCAAAGAAAGAGCCATGTTTACATTGTTGACTGAAAGTGAGTTGCCGTCTGCACAATTAAATTGGAGGCCGTGGTTTTCACTTTGGAGGAGCTGAAGTACCACGATGCCTTCCTGTGGTGTATTGTGCAGTATAGGCAGATTGAAGCCTCATACGTTGTAATGCAGGTGTTGCTATGGTTTTTGTAAAGAGAAAATGTCAAATTAAAAGAAAAAGCTGTACATTTATCAGTCAATCTGTATTCCATCCTTAACTTTAATCATGAGTTCTAGATAATAGCATCTTGAGGGCAGGTTCAAGTAGCATTATTGTTCCTTAGGAGCTTACTTCAGAGAAGTAACGTGACACATCTTAGTGTTCTTAGATTTTGTCGGATTTCAGGGTTTGACAAGCCAGACTTGTCAAACCCTCATCCAATTCATTTAATCTGTTACTATGGTTTGACATTATTTTACAAATTCATTGAAGCTAATCGTCTCGTTTTCGGAAAGGTAATTGTGTTAAACGTTACACATATTGACAGGTTAAAATAGTACAACATGGCAATTGAAAACAGAATTGTTACCTGGTGCACTTTGGTAAGTTTTTAATTTAGCCAAGACAGAGATTCTTGTTGAGTAATTCTGTCTCGATGTCTCCCACTAATGAAAATAATTATTTAGCAGAAAAGGTTTTTTCTGTCTGCAATATTGTTTCATGCCTTGACAAGGTCTGCATGATGAAACTACATAAAAACCAACCCTCCTGCCACACATGAGAATAAAGAAAGAAAAGAAAAAAAACCTTTGGAAATTTCATCTGCATTTATAGCAATTTGTTCAGTTTCTTTTTTTGCTGGGAAGCTTTTGATCAGTGACACCACCCACAGATAATGTGAAGCATGAAGGCCAAATCCTGCACTGCATCGATTGAACAAACACACCCCACCTCCCTCCACCAACACAAACACACTTGTGCTGCCCTAATATCACCACAGCTTTAGTTCGCTACAGCAACAGCAGTAGCATGTGACAGCAACAGCATTCATTTATGTGTAGGGCAGCATTAACGTGTGCAGAATTTGGTTTTAAAAAGCAGTGTTGTGACAGCAACATTACTTCAGCACACTTGCAAAGAAGGGCTGACACAAGTGCAACATGTCATATTCAAACTCAATTTTCTGAAGGAGGCAAACATTTATTTTTTTTTTCTTGCTAATAATTTTGGAGTTATTGTTTGTGTCTCAGATTTACATATAAGCTGCTTGTCACCTTTCTACAGAAAATGTTTTAGATTATGTATTGTTTCAAAGGTATTGTCAGGATTCCTTTGTACTTATCTTATTTTTTGTGTTTTTTCCCCTCTTTTTCTCTGTAATCTCCATTCACCCCCTCCTCTTTTTCCCATTCCCATTCTGCTTCCCTCCTTACCAGCCTTTCTCTCCCTCCCTCTTTTTCTTTCCCAGGCGAGTGATGCATGCTGCAAACGGTGTGTGCGTGTAGTGTGAACAAGACCCACTGGTGTATGCGTGTGTGCCCCGTGTGAGTAAATGTGCGTGCATGCGTGTGTGTGCGGAGAGAGAGAGAGAGACATAGACTGAGCCCCCAACACGGAGCATGCCTCTGCGTCCGGCAGCCGGCAAACATGAGCCACCCAGCTCTCCACGGCAGGACCAGCAGCAGCAGCACACACACACACACACACGCACGCACACGCACCCTTACACACACGCACCGAACGGCAGCCAGGGGGCCAGCACTGACAGCAGCAGCTCCCGGGAAGAGGAGAGTTGCGTTCCCATTCCTCACGCTGTTCCGGCTTTCGGTCCCGGTGGAGAGCACAGCAACAGTGCAGGAGCACCCATGGAGGAGCCAACAGGCAACACTGTGGTCATCCGCATTGGAATCCCAGACCTACAACAGACGGTAAGAGCTTTCTCTGTTGCCACTGCTGGAGAGACTAAAAGAGAGGGAAGGTGCCTCTCCCCCTTCTCTGCTTTTAACCTGTGTTCTCTGCTTGGTGGGTTGGAGATTATTATCTCTTTCTTTGTCTTTCTATTTCATCTTTTTGTGCTATTTTTATGTTTTCAGTCTGGTTCTCCCTCTCTTTTTGTTTTCAGTATTCAGACTTTGTAGCTTTGCTTGCCTGCTGGCTTCTTAGGGTTCCACACCCCCTGCCTGTCCAACGGGCTCCTCACTAATAAAGGTGCCTCTATATAAGCTGGGCTTCAGCTGACTTTGACAACTATCCTCTTAGGGTGAAAGTGAGACTGGAGAGAAAATGCATTGGGGCAAAGGAGGCTAATGTAGAGGATAAAAGAAAAATCACGATCGTCATGAACACGGGCTGTAAAACTTTCCCTCAGACCTGTCTTATTGTTTCTGCTGTTGCTCCATGTCAGGACAGAGAAAACAAGTTCAATATTAGTCTTCTTAATCAAGCAACAATTTACCTGAAGATGTAGATTGTGCCTAGGTGTTTTGCATCTACTAAAGAAAAAAAGCACAACTATTAGACTGTGAGATTGGTTGATCCCTGCCGTTATTTTATCTAGTCGAGAATTTGGTATGCACTCCCCATCTCTTAACACATTCACCGTGACCAAAAGTCTCTGTCAGCTTGTGGTTGGTGCAGAAGGTGCTGCAGAAGGTGCAATCAATCAGGATAAATGTCCAGATCATTAATTCATTTTCATCTACCCTAATTTATATGCATTGAGTGATGATTATTCTTAGAAGAACAATAAAACAACATTGAGTAAATAGAATTTTTTTTTCTATAGTTAGAAAGTCATTTAGTCTTTCTTTTCAAAAATTTACTGAAAATTCTGAATTGGCAGAAAAGGATTTTTTTTCAGTTTATCATCAAGCATATGACTCTGACCACTGACATATGGAATAAAGACCAATGATTGTTTTTTCATCTTAGATCCTCTTTTAGTGGGATATATTATGACTTATAAGCACATTAATATCATTTTTTTATTCTAAACTGACGTTTTGGAGGCAGAATAATGAGTAGGATAAAGTTCAAATGAGTTTCACAAGGGCCACATTTTGATGGCTAAATGATTGGCTTAGTTAACCTCCAAGCTCTCCTGAGCTGCTTTCAGACTGCAGGAATCAGTTTGGTTAAAAGTGGTCCAACGGTGGTGAACTAGAGACAGGGTCATGTTCCATTTGAGGAGCTGAGCCTGGACCACTTAGTGCACACCAACAGCTTCTGTTGTAGAAATTCCTGAAGAAGTTGATGGTTCTGACATCAGAATGATTGTCACATAGTAAGGTGCCAGATAGCAGCACATTGCAGCTTGTGTGGCATCGTAAAGCTACAGACAAGTCGCTGTGGCCACGCCGATCTCTGTCAAACACCCAAACTACCAACATTGGGGAGGTTAGCATCACAACTGGGCCATGTTGCAATGATGGTTAAGCTGTTCTGATGTATCATGTTTTCTCTTACATTGCATAGATGACTGGGTGTATGGTATGAAGAGTCACTTTTCAAGGTAAAACATGGCTCCATCACCCATCCATCCAAACATCAACTGTCACTTATGAAATTAAAACTCCAGATGCAAAACCCAAACATCTCTTTCACGAAAGACACCCTTTAGCACATTCTTAGGAATCCAAAGGGATTCCCAGGCCAGAAAGGATGTGCTATATGTCCCTCCAGCAAGATCAAGGTCTGCCCTACGCTTTCCTCCAAAAGGGAAGTTCCCAAAATATACAGGGTCTACTTTAAGAAGAAGACAAGTTGTGTCACAATTTATGTTATGCTTTGCTGGGAAATGTTTGGTCCTGCTATGCATTTGGGTGTTATTGTGGCATTTAGCACTTCCATGAAAAAACATCATAGCCTGAAGTCCATAGCCTCTTTTAAGATGATATTGTGATTCTCTGAACTGCGGTCTTGAATACTGCTGTTGTTGCTATATTGTATCCTGTATTATGCAATCGGATTCCATTACATCATGTTCATATTTGAACATTATGTATCTTTTTTAAAATCACATTTATGCTATAGTCTGTTATCCTCTCATTTTACCATCACAAAAGGGAGCCTAAATTTTTGCTTCCCAAAATATTGATTCTGCCCTTATCTGCTGTGCTACAGTGCATATAGATGCTTTTTGAGTTTACTTTAGGTGTCCTTCTTAGTCTTCCACAAGATATGGTCGCCACAATGCAAGTTGCTGGTAATGTGTTTCGTTATCATCACCTCATTGTGGTTGGCTGAAATGACCCATTGTGACTTAGTGAGGCTCCAGATCTGCATGCCTGAAAAAAAAGACAGGAAATAAAAGGAGGGCACTTGAAGAGAAAGCTGAGAATTCCCTGAAGGTACTGCATAGTAGCCTTCTGTGAGCAAAATAGTTTTTCATTCTAGTTCAAACCCCCTGCGCACACACCACCACTCAAACACACGCCCATACATCTAATCTCATTTCCAGGGGACTTACCTTAATGTTCTTACGTAATTCAATGATGCTCAACAGTTCATTAGCCTTGCTCTTAAGTAATGACATTTTACCCAGGAAATTTCTAAATGTTGAGAACACATATGGTGTGAAGTTGTGATCGACAGGCAAACAGAGCAAGCGCCTGGAAATCTGACAGATAAACATAGCGGCAGATGACAGATGGCTAGATTTGGAGACTTTGAATTTTTTATGCAGCAGTCAAAAGTGACTTCTGTATACCCTGAGTGAAAAAGGGATTACTCTAGGAAAGTCTGCCTGAGTAGGATTACATATCGCCTGCTGCGTTTCAAGTCTGGATCTGAAGAATGAAGCGTCATGCAAAGATCACAGTGAGAAACATTTTACCTTTTCGGCCGGAAAGAAGGAAATAGTGAGGACTCATGTAGGGTGGTGCAATATATTGAATGGCTGTATCCTCTTATGGCTTTTCTCTCAATCTCTGGGCTGTTCCTTTACAGTTACAACCATCCTGCTTCAACAAACCTGTTATAAATGTGTCATCATTGCAAAATGTGTTTCTAGATCAAGCTGCAGTGCCAAGCCTGCAATAAAATAGATTAAAGTCTTTGGCCAATGTTAATATGTTTTCAGATTTATCAAATTTAGAATGTTCATAAGTTTGAAGATGCAGCATTCTCTCAGGTTGTAATGAAATAAAAAGAAAAATGTGGAGTTAGCAGGGGACAAGATGCTGTAAACCTATTGAAATAGCATACCGAGAATTAATTTTATGAATTTAATTCCATGATTTGAAGCTAATAAGTGAAATAAGTAGTTATTAAATCTTTGGGTTTAATGAAAATATCGTGTTGAGAGCTGAAGGAAACAGTGTGATTTCATTCACTGCTGAAATCTATTTTCCCAGGCAGAGTGTTGTACAGAGTACCCGTACTAAAGATTTGGCTTTTTTGAGATAATAGGTATTGTTTATCATTCACCATATCCTGCATCAATGAAACACTTTTTTTCTTTTATGGAAGCAAAAAGAGATGGATTTCCAATACTGCTAATGGGTGCTATTTATCTCTCTACAGAGCAAAGGTGTCATAAATAGACTGCCCCAAATATCTCTCTACCTTCTTTTATTCATATGCTAGATTTTTTTCCTTCAGATAGTTGCTTATTATGGAAGATTTTACATTCTTATTTATTCACAACTTTTCTGTTGCTGTTAAATGTTTGGTACAACAATGCAATCTTCACATTAGTCAAGAAGATGAAAGACTCAAAAATGGAAAAGCTGCATGTCTGATTACTCTTATTGTGGACCTTTGAGTTTTGAGTTCTGTGATTCAGGTTTATTGTGTGGAAAATTGCTTGCTTTAACTACTTGAAAGTCCCAAGGTTCTGTTATGCTGAGCAATTTAGGCATTTTATCGTAAAAAGGAATTACAATAGTCGGCGAGGACAATTTCACATCTTTGGAAACCAAAGTTGTTATTAATTCACACTTTTTTTTCTTTTTAGACATTGTATGCTTTACTGAAATGTCATGTTTTTTAATTGTACAGCCCCAATGTTGGTGATTTTAAGGATTTTTTCACCGTTTACAGAAAATGGAAATAAAAAGAATTTAAGCCATCACTTAAACACATTCATTGGGAGCTGTAATATATCAGTATTTTTATGGAGCTTAGAATGAACAGAGGACATGTCTAAACTCTATCCCAATCTAAAGAAATTATGTCATTTCCAGATGTTTGTAGAGAGTCAAAACTTGCACTCAAGTAAGAGTAGCAATAGTAAGTTTACTGAAGTCCTGAGATGGACAAATATGTATGTGATGGTGAATAAAATAAAGAATGACTGAAAAACATTGTTATGTTGAAGAACTATTGGCACTACAAAGTTTTAAATAACGGTTTTGTATAATGACCAATGAATTGAAACCAAAATGGACTAAAATACAGTTTTGCTCTCTTTTAGCACTTTTCCTGGTAATTATGATTTTTTTTTCTTGCTTTAATGTTAAGTTTTCTTAAGCGGCCTTTACATTAAGCAGATATTGTCAAAAAAAGTTAGAAGAGAGAGTAGTACATTGAAGACAAAGACTGAAGCTTCAGTCCAAAGATAATGCTGAGGGGGTAACCAGTCAACCAGCTGGGTTACCTGGTCCCAGTGTTTCAGACTTTGTTTAATCAAAATCAATAAATGTGGACAATTTGATTAAGAAAATGGTTTGAACTAATAGCTGGATCTTTTAAAAAGGAGTATATTTTATGTTAATGTTACTGATGTTCTCTGAGAAAATCTGCCTATCGAAACAAAATGTAACATGCCAGAGTTGCAAAGATTTTCTCAGCTGATGCAAGAATCAGTAACAAATGTAGATCTAAATATATGCGAATGAATTTGATCTGCTCTTCACTGTACATTGCTGAATGTTCTTTCCATCCCAGCCTGTTAATGCTGCTTGCCTTCTTCACTGAGCTATAAAAC